CAGTTTTTTGCCAGCAAGGACCAAAACTTTTATGAGAGGGGAATTATGTTACTGCCAGAAAGATGGCAAAAGGTGTTGGACCAGAATGGCCAATATATAATTTAATAAAATATTTATTCATTATACGAAAACTGTCTTTCATGTTCCCCAAGAAAAACGAAATGACTTTCCGACCAACCCAATACATACAGCCACAAAAAGTAGAAAATTAAATTTATTGGGAGCCATAGAGATTAACAAAATGAGACATTCAAATGTATTGCTTAACGATCAGTTAGGTTTAAATACCTCTTCTTTATTGAACTTAAATTTTCACAACAACATTAATTAAGATTTTATTATCATTTTTCGGTATATATAGTAGCAGGTAGTTTGTAAATATTACATTTGATAAAGACACGGTGTTGTCGAAACAATTGTCATGTCAAAATATATAATTTCGTGAAAATCTGAACTTTTAGTTCTTATTTATTTTGATAAATGGATTTTCGTCAAGTAAAAGCCGCCTCAGTTCAACTTTCGAAGGCAATCCCACACTTGCAACTGTTGTTCTTCTTTACATTCAAAACATCACTGACCACATACCGAATCATTCCAAAAATTCCTCAACAATTTCTATACGCAAAGACAAAATTTCGTTAGAGGTACCAGGAGTTTACAGTATTTCATGTATATGCGGCAGAGAATACACTAGGCTCAAACAACATGAAAGAGCCTTAAAATCCCATTCTAAATTTCGGTACGGTTATTAATCACAGTTTCAAGAATTTTCAAATTTTCTCGTTTGTTTGTAAACTGAAAATAGAGCAGGGTTTTTATGGGGATTTCATCCAAATTTGCGATTAAAAAAATTACCAGAAACGCAGTTCATAGAAGCTTTATACGGGGTACCACCGCGTCCTGAAACAGACAGAACAGAACAGAAAAATCTTTTTGGTTGGTTTCTACCGTATCCGTGGAGAGGCCGAAACTCTGCAACCTCGCGTTTGTTATTTGATTATGGGCACAGTGCTGTAAACATTTTATTTCCCAAAATTATATATTTTAATTAGCGGCTAGTAAATAATTGCACACTTTTAGTGCCCATAAAGTGTTCGCGCGAGAGTGTTTCGTTTAACGATAAACGCCGACAGTGGGATAGGCCGGTAATGTTAGTTATTTTGCCGTAACGTTCCCTGGTTGTTTCGAAAAAACCTATTTGGATAATTGAGAATTCAGTTCTAGGGTTAAATGGCCGAAAACGACCCACTTTCGCCAGTACACTGGTCTGTACAAATTTTTTTTTATTCTCCCTATTGCTTTTTTCTTATTCTGTGCACATAGATTTTGAATAAAATGTCGATTTAATTGAAAAACGATTTTTCATTAGTTTTTTAAATGTTAATTTTACTCTTACAAGTTACAAAAATATCATTATGGTGATAAAATGCAACTTACTTCGACGACCTCGAATCGACCAACAAAAATCATTTCCCATGGTAGCGTCTTTCAATTTGCATAATATCCTGATGAAACCTCTCACCACGCTCATCTGATACGGCACCGAGATTTACAGGAAATAAATCTATATGGGAGTCAAAAAAATCAATTTTAAGTGACATATTGCATCCTAAAACTAAGCAGAAAGAAGCTCTCGAATGATTTGGCAGTAGTTGTCAGCTTTAGCATTCCCTTTGTACTACATACTCTTTGTACTACCATAAACTCATCAAATGAATACAAAAAAATCTAAATTTATGGTGGTAAAAAAAATTATATCGAAAAATGGTATGTATGGTAACATGGTAACCTCCCCTCAGAGTTAACTCCACCTGGTGAGGGGTAGTTGAATAGTCCGACTTTCTTCTTCCATCTTCTCCGTTCGGAAACATCCTCTGATAACCAAATACTTGTAGGCTACATAAACAGAGGCTATAACTAAAATTTAAGCGTGTCCTCTAATCCGGAACTAGTGAACATACCTAAGCTTACTATCCAGGATGTCTTGTCAGCCAGCAAAGCACTCAAGAACAAAATTACCGCTGGTCCTGATGGCATACCAAGTTTTATCGTGAGAGACTGTTCCCACGCACTGTGTGCTCCTTTATGTCACGTTTTTAACCTGATACTTGAGACGGGTGTTTATCCAGAGCCTTGGAAATATGTCAAAGTTTATCCTATTCTCAAAAAAGGTGACCCCTCTGTTGTTGAAAACTACCGGCCTATTTCGATCTTGTGCAACTTTTCTAAAATATTCGAGATTATATTAAATAAATTTATTTTTGCTCAAATTAGAAATAAACTATCTACGCAACAACATGGTTTTTATGCGAAAAGATCATGTATCACTAACTTATGCTCCCTGTCTTCGTATGTCTGTGACTCTCTGAACAAGCAAGGTCAAGTTGACGTTATATACACTGACTTCCACAAAGCATTTGACCAGATAGATCATCACTTACTGATTGAAAAAGTATCTCATAAATTTGGTTTCTCTGATTCGCTGATTACAGTGTTGAGGTCCTATTTGGTGAATCGTCGACAGTTTGTTGAGATTGAGGGGTTTAGATCAGTTCCTTTTGTTCCAACTTCTGGCGTGCCTCAAGGTTCTAACCTTGGACCTCTGCTTTTCAATATATTTATAGATGATCTCGTATCTTCGATCATCTGCAACAAGCTTGCCTATGCGGATGACCTAAAGCTATATGAGAGCATTGAAACTGGCATGGACTGCATGACTCTCCAGGACAACATCAGTATTGTCAGTCAATGGTGTACCAGAAATAAATTCCATCTTAACATCAGCAGTAATGTGGTTTCTTACCACCGCACAAAAACTCCTGTAGTCTTTGATTACAATATGGATGGTACTGTCCTGACTAGACTTGCTACTGTTAAGGATCTGGGGATTTTATTTGACCAGTCGTTCTCTTTTGTATCTCACATTACAAAAATGGTTTCCAGTGCAATGCAAATTTTAGGATTCGTAATAAGAAATTGCAGGCATTTTTGTAGCTCAGCTACTGTTAAATTGTTATTTAACTGTTACGTTAGGTCCAAGCTTGACTATGGTTCACTGATATGGTCACCAATTTATCACTGCCACACTCAGTCCATTGAGAGTGTGCAGAGAAGGTTACTAAAGTATCTAACGTTCAGGGAGGACGATCTCTATCCTGAAAGGGGAGTTGATCACGATCTTCTACTAAGAAGGTTCGCTATACTGCCCCTGAGCTTGCGCAGAGACTTGCAATCTGTTTCATTTCTCTAAAAGTTAGTTCATTACGGAGTCGATTGTCCATTTCTTCAGAAACAATTAAGTTTTCATGTGCCGCGGCTGGAAGGGAGACATCAATTAACTTTCTTACCGCAGTTACCCAGGTCCAATATCCATTTTCAAAACCCTATTTACAATATGTGTGCTACCTGCAACAAACTATCATCGTACTGCGATTTATATTATGATGGTCTCCAGGCCATACTTCAGCAACTTCGAATGGCGTCGGGTTATGCGTACCGTTAAGTCTTATCCTTTTCTTTCTCTTTCTCATTCTATCCTTCTTCATTTTTTTTAGTTGTAAGTTTAGTAGATTTAAGATTGGTTTTTACGTCCCCTAGTATATATATTGGATGATTTATATTTAATATTTCCTGTAATTGGGTCATGTTACCTGTTGGAAATAAAGTGCTATTATTATTATTATTATTATTATTATCATATAGAAGAATAGTCCATTTACTAAGTATTTTCGACAATTAATTAGGAAATGGATCGGGATCATTTTCCATTATCTAACTTATTTTCTTGTAGATGAAAACTTAGGTTAAGGACAGGAAGATTCGGAGGCTTATAATCAAAATCGAAAAAACAATATTTTTGCAGGGGTATCCTTCTAACTTCTAATTGGTCTGCTAACATGACGCAGGAAGTAGGTTTTGATGACTGCAGTAACTGAACTTCGTAGGACTTTTCGTTCCTAGTTCTTTCACATTTCCGTGCGGACATTGACGTCTTCATTTCTTTGCAGGGAATTTTTTGGTATACGTAGTGTACGAGGGCGGCGCCAAAATTTCCCGGCCTAAATATGAAAGAAACAAAGTAGTACTACCACAAAAATCATATTCAAACCTATTTTGTATGATTATGCACTGTTTATCATGTAAACGAATTAAATAAATTCAAAAAAAAAAGACGTGATGGAAAATACCGTCCAACGGGAACATATTCAGAGCATTAAAATCTTCATATTTATGAATATTTTGAAGGAGGATTTCATTACAAAGCTCTCTACACGTCGATCTATGATTTATGACCCTGTGTAAACCAAATGGACATAAGCAAAAATGACCCAAAGAAATACTTGGCGATATTTGATAGTATCGAGTTTAAACGGTTTTGCTGTGGATGTGAACTTTTAACTCTATGAGAATTTTAAGTCGACCCTGCCCAAAAGGTTTGCAATTACTAGAGCGCACACTTTCGAAAAATTCTATTTCGTCCATGTTTCGAATTTAATAAGCGAAATATAAAAAATCAAACATTTATATCGAATTTTGGGTTGAGTTTTTATTAATTCAAGGGATATAAAATATTTATCGAAGGTATAGGTCAGTCAGTTTATCTACGGATACCTTAAAGTCCTTTTTTTTAATTTTATGATGGTCAACATACCATCGTTTTGTTTCTATGCTGTAGAGAAGGGATCAAAGTACATACTCAAATTGAGTCAGGCTCCCATAGGCTTAAATAGGCGAAATATAAAAATTCAAAATTTGAATATTAAATATTGAACTTTTTTTAAAAGTTTGTTACAATTTATTTCTAATACCTTCGTTGCTCTAAGAATGTTAAAATATTTATAAAAGAAAAATAGATACGCCAAAGTCTGTTTTTTTCATTTGACAGTGACAATATTAAAAATGAAAAAACCAGTAGTATTTTTTTACATTCAAGGGCTCCATGGCTTTTTGTATTATATTTTTAATTGGTTTTAATTCGCCCTTTTTCCGTTTTTTTCCAGGCGAGAAGGGCTCGATCTCACCGAACAGGCTGATAGGTAAGTTTAAAGTTGATCCCAGCATATAATTTCCTTCCTTCTACGTATTAGAAGTATTTAAGTTAATTGCAATAAAAAGTTTTTGAATCTTGCCTTGTCTCAAATAAATGTTCCCGTTAGTTACGCCCCAAATACTCTCGATTGGGTTGAAAAACCAGTTAAATGTCACGAGTGTTGCTTAAAATATTCTCTTTTTAACGAAGGTGTTCATTGATCCAAATATCGTGTAAATTTCTTCATCTGTAAATAGTATTTCTTGGTCCAATAAGGGATATCCAAAAACCAAAACGTGCGAGATATTCAGATTATTTCCAATTTTTTTAGTCCCAGGGACTAAGGATTCTCATCAATAGGAGTTTAAACTGCATTTTCAACTTCTGGAGATATCAAGATAAATAAAAAAGTGGCGTATAAAATTAAATACTAGCAATTTTCTGACATATAAGCTCACATAATGTTTTTGTCAATATGGAAGACCCTTTATATTATATTATATTATTATATTTTATTCCGATTACGATGTTGTAATGCAATGCAATGCAAAGAGTGCCCCGACTGACAAATAAAAATATGAAAGTAGTGATATGCTTCAAGAATACTTTGCGAATAAAAAAAGTGCAACCGCAGCTAGTCATCACTATATTAGACTTTATAAAGAGCGCCTAGCTCTGTCAAAAAAACAGTAACTTATTAAATGGTAAAAAGATATGCCGGAATAATAACGTTAGCACCTCGAGTTTCCTCTATTACTATACGATATATACAAACCACTCAGTTTTGAAAGGATATAAATATAATCCATTTAAATTTTGTAAAATTGGAAAGCTAAGTGCAGAACAATGTCATAGGAGGATGCAGGTGTGTTTGGTTTTTTGAAATAGCTATAATTAGAATACTATTTTTTTGCAAAAACATTTTATGGACTGATGAAAGTTCGTTCACCGCAAGAAAGGGTTGTAACAGACAAAATATTGGTCCTTAACTAATCCTAGACGCGAAATTAAAACTCAGGGGTGTCAACCAATTAATGTATGGTGTGGTCTCTTGTGAATCACTTAAATAAATTCCCGTTATCTTAGGATAAAACCTTTTTAGATGTTTTAAAACGGTTTCGGAAATGTCCGACTACGGCCCACGCGTTATTAACAATTTAAATTCGGACAATTTTAATAATGCCTGCGGGCAGGTCGTGTTACTTTTAGAACAATACGCGGCCGTCCTTCGTCTTCCATTACAACACATTATCATATGTTACCGTTCATTGATAATTCAAGCCTGCATTCGAGATTAATTTGATTTGGCACGCCGTATTTAAGTGTCTGATAAAAACTCTTTCTTCTATGGTCTTTAGCCAAAGCATGAGTGTTTGCGGTTATTGTTGATGTTTTATTCTTCTTCTTCAACCTTTTAATACCAACTTCTGCATATGCTTAGATTATGGCTTGAACCCAGGATTCTTAAGAACGGTTGCCAGTAGCGGCCCAAGCGACCCCGGATTCTTTTGTTTGGTTCATTGTCAAGCATTTCTCGCAAAGTGGTAAATATTTATTCCCTGTCACTTCCAGTGAACTTGTTTGAAAACATCTTCTAAAGCTAATGCGAAGAGTTTTGCTTATACAGTGTCTCCCCATACGTTTTCTTTTTGGAGATAAACTTATCAAGGCTTCGCCTCCATCGTATAAGTAGGGTAACGGTTTAAAGCTTGCGTAAAAGTGTCCCGATTCCAAAATTATCCGCAGAAATGTCTGGCGGCGCCTGTCGCTTGAGTCGGTATAGTTTGGTTCAAATTATAGTGAATTATTATTAGGCTGTATGTTCCATTTCTGAGATATTTTCCCATTTGTAGGTTTTTATTAGCAATATGGCAGTACTAAAATCAAACTTGTTGGGCGGATAGTTAAATTATTTAACGGTAAACAATGACAAACAAAAGTAAATAATTTCCCTACCATAATTATTATACAGGATATAATCGGAAACATAGCAGAACAATATTTAGAAAATAATTTATTATTCTCGCAACTTAGGAAAATCTTGGTGTTAAAAAAAGGGCGATATGTAGAATATCGTTATATTTATTTATTCTGGTCGAAGAAAAAATATCGGAATAAACTTTAAACTTCATTTGAAAAGGTGAATTTTCAGCCCAAAATGGCAATCTTTTTCAACTTTGAGGAGGCGCTCTAAAAAAAACACCGTTTATTGATCCAGGGACGAGCTCTCCACGTACCTCAAATTTTGAGGTACAGTAACCCTAGAGCCCGTCGACACGAAAATGACTTTCGCCTCCGGATCCGACAGTGAATAACTCCGGAAAATCGTAAAAAGACGGCCTCCTCAAAAGTTTTTTGTTTGATTCCGATTCCTCCTCGACATTTTTTTAAGCCCTGGGTGTTACCGTTTCCGAGATCCAAACTCTTAATCCCAAAAGGAAGAATAAAATTTTAATTACGTATTACGTATCACGTATAGAATATACAGTGACTCCCAGCTTAAATGATGCAGTCACTATAACGAAGACTAACTGGTCTGAATGTCTCTTTGTTTATTTGTAAAAAAAAACTAATCGAAATTAAGTTAGAAGTGTGCATTACTTTTTGTTTTAAATATTATATTATTTATTATTTATTGCTGCAATTGTTTTTTGTTTAGTTTGACATTTTGAAACACTGATACAGCCAAAAATGGTAAATAAATATCCGTCAACTGTTCAGCATATCATTGAGCGTTACTGTAACGAAAATAGGGTCGAGAATAAGTCATAGTTAGCTCCAAATAAGATCTTCAATGAACGTGAGGTAAGGTGGATTGTAAGAGAGGTATCTAATTATCCAAAAAAAGTGCTCCAAAGATGTGCGTCGAGGTGGAAAGACAATTTGGAAAATACGTTGTTGAATTGCCAGAAATAAGTCCTTCGTTAGCCGAAGAAATAGACTGGCATTCGCTAGAGAATGCCAATCTCATCTGCCAAGATTCAGTAATATTTGCCGATGAGACTAAAATGAACTTATATGAAGAAAGCCTAAGGAAGAATTAAAATTGAAAAATTTAGAAGCTACGGTAATGCATCTGCAGGAGTAGGTAATATGTATTTCGTTGAAGGAAATATGAACCAATATGTGTATTTGGATATATTAAGATAGCTGATTGCTAGTGTCCAAAAATTAAATATGACTATCATGACAATGATCCAAAGCAAACGTCATTTCGGGTCTACCCAAATGTTATTAAGACACCACCTCAGTCACCAGACTTAATTGTAACTGAGAATTTGCGGTTGACATTAAAAAACAAAGTAAATGGTGCCCCAATATCAAACAAGAGTGAATTAAAAGTAAAAATTACTGAAGTATAGAACACAATTTCCCCGGAGTATACTAGAAAATTAGTTGAATCAATGCCCAGAAGACTACAAGCCGTTATCGATAATGAGGGAGGCCCTACTAAAAATTAGCAGGGGGATTTCAAATTGTGCAGTTGTTTTTCTCTATTGATTTGGTTATATTTTGTGTTGCATCATTTAAGCTGTGACGTTAATAACTAAGTAAGGCATGTTTAAGACACAAAGTAATTCGCACTTTTTTAGAAGGCTTTTTGTTAACTTAATTTCATTAAGTTGTTTTTTTCCAAATAAATAAATAGACATTCACACCAGTTGGTTTTTGTTATAGCGACTGCATCATTTTAGCTGTATATATTTTTATTTTCCCTTTTCGCTCAATCCTATTTGACACAGCGGCTAGATTCTCCGAATCTTGAATTTCTGATGGCATTTTTTTAACCTAGAAAAAAACTTTGTTAAAACTTGTTCGATTTCATTTGCAATACATTTTTCACATTTGTCTGACATATAGCCTACAATGTTTATTTATTTATTTATTTATTTATTACAAAGGTGCCCTAACATGAAGAACTAACTTCACAATTTACAAGGACACACTAACAATTATACCATTATTTAATTAACAAAGTAAAACTTATAAGTAGGTACCTACCTATATCTACGATAAGCAGAAGATAAAAAAAAAACAATAACAATCAAACTTATCAAACTAAACCAAAACTAACACTGTATATTAAGGGCGTGAATTACAAAAAACAAAAAACAAATGTGAAAATAAAGGAAAACAAATCAAAAATTAAATTAAATTTATAGAAAAACCCTAATTGCTTGATTTCGAAACGAATTAAGTGATAACGCAAAGATGTCAACGTGCGAAAAATAATTATTGTAATGTCTATGTAAAAGAGATATTGGGGAATTGTTACCTAAGTTTGTATTAAATCTAGGCACGTAAAATAATGAAGGAGTTCTTGTTATAACGACTCTGGCATTGAAGGATAGTTTTTCCAACAGTAAAGGACAGTCAATCCTACTATTAATAATATTATGCAAAAATATAGCACTGGAGATAATTCTTCTAACAGATAACTTCAGTATACGGTAGAAATTAAGACTAGCTTCATACGAATGAGTTAGTAAGTTACGGTTAAATCTAAAATTTAAATGGAAAACAAACTTTTTTTGTGTTCTCTCGATTCTGTCTATATATTTATGATACTGAGGACTCCATATCACACCGCCATAGTCAAGCGATTTGTGATCCTGAAATTCCTTGCTAACTCTTAATATAAAACCTAAATTTTTATAAGCTTTTTTTACTATATTCTCAATGTGGATATCAAAACTTAATTTTACATCTATAGTTATTCCAAGATCCCTAATCTGCTCTACTTTTTTTATTTTTACACCATTGAATGTGTAGTCAAAGTTTATATCATTTATCCATTTATGTTAAATGCTTTTCGCTATTATTATGGTTACCAAACAAAACTAACACTCCCTGCTAGTATAATAAAAATGCAAATGGAATTCCGGACCACACGAAAAGCTACACAGTGCAACGGTTTGGTTTTTAGATACCTTCGGACGTATCATTTCTTAAATCACATTAACCAAAAATGATTTCTTTTCATTTCGGGGTTGATCGATTGCATTG